ACCTGTCCCCACCCCTTCGGGATTCAAACACACGGCAGCACCAAATCGCGGGGAATTTTTACTCGGAAAATACGCGTGTGTAGGTTTTGAGAGATGAGTAAGGGTACACCTGGATTCTACCTAACGGGTGTCCATTACGCGATTTCACTTTCCCCTCGACCTTGTACCTTCATCCATTGTTTTTCCGAAAAATCGGATGGGAAATTGAGCGACACGATATTCGCAAAATCTGTCGTTCTGGGGATTAAATCGGTTGGAGATGATAAATTGAGTTGGGCGATGTGCGAGTTTGTGGGAAATATGTTGAGATCTCTGGGAGTTAGTGGTATTTTTGTCGATACCTTTTTTGTTGCTTTAGTTTTGTTTTGGAGGACAGGTGATTAGGCGAATTTCGGTATCTGTCGCGGATTCTGAGATATAAACGGATGCAGTTTGAGGAGAGGGAGAAGAACGTGTGTATCTGGAGTTACAGCACGAGTCATATCTCTTTATTCGAGAGAGATACCGAAAATGTTGTAAGAACATTTATTGCAGTTCTCATTTCCCTCTATAAAAAAGATTAATTAAGAAATCTGTTATCTCTCATGGATGCCAAGATATTCGCTGAGAACTCAATGGGTAATTCTAATCTCCGAAAATTTCAACCCGCTAATGTCATCTCCGGGATTTAGCTTCGGAGTTCCATGGAGTACAGATCCCTAATTACAATGATTTGTGTGCAATAAACCGGTGATCATTCCTCCCAGCGCCCATTCACGAAACGATTGCGAGTCTTGAATGAAAATTTCCCCATTCATAGTTTTTCGTGAATATTCATGAGCAATTTTCACCCGCGAAATCATATTCCGCTGTTTTTTCGATCTCGATACCGCGGAATTGGGACTCAAGGATTCTGAGGATCTCAAAAATCGGCCAGATGCAGTGGGAACCAGCGGTTCTGCCGTGCATACGGACAAATCCATCGGGGGAAACCAAAGATGGCGAGTGGTGCAAAAAAAAAAATATATATATGAAAAAAGACAAATAAAAGACAGAGATTCGAGAGGACACGGGAGAGACATGCGCACCAACGAGGGAGACGGCATTAAAATAAGGACAGGAGATTCAGAGAGGGGAGTAGGAAGCAGAGAAAAGAGAACTCAACATTCCCCTTTGTCGCTTTTGTCGCTTGTGTGGGATCTCTCGGATGTATGTGGAGAAGACAAAAAATATACGCGTGCAATCGCACACTAATGCCAACCTTGCGCCAGCTGTACGATTCTACCTTCTCTCACTCTCTTCCTCGGGTACCTCTCCCCCAGGGTGAGGGCAGAGGGGACAGAGGGGCACAATACGTGCAATGTAGATGGTTTCTCCACAATTCTCACTTATCCCGGGATCAATTCCTCCGAAGTCTTCAGATTTTTACGTTTCCAAGGAGCTGAAAAACAAATACCAGTCATTAGATCTACTTTAAGAATTCATTCACTTAATTATAATTACCTCTGCTAATATGTAGAGCACAGATGTAAGCTAGGAAATTCCATAATCATTATTATTATTGATTATTATTAATTACTTTGTTGCTACTACAAATTGATCATAATTATGAATAAATCTTTTGTAATAAGATGTTTGAATTTTAAAATATTGGAGATCTTGATTTAATGTATTTAGGGGATTTTTATTATTGAATTTTTTTTTCGTTGTTGATGTCGAATGATTTCGGAAAGAATTGACGTTTTGTTGTAATTGATTTGTGGAGATAATTTCTCGTTATGGAAATCTTGTTGGATGCCGAGCATAAATTGTAGCTGTGGTGCGTGGATGGGAACGAAACAGATTTGCGCCGGACACATTTGGAGGGGATGGGTGCAAACGTATAAAACATTGGTTTCAATGGAGGAAATTGACAAATTTACGGAACTTTCGATGGTCATCGATCAATCAATTTACCTGATGTCGAGGTGATTGAGATTGAGAAATGATTCACCGAAATTCAGAAATTTCGAATAGATTTAAAATATAATAATACCGAGTAATTTTCACTTGAAAAATTCGGGAATTAATCCCAGAAATCCAAGAATTTCTCATAATTTTCAGAGATATAATTATTAATGAGAGATAATTAATAGTAATAATTATTATTTTTATAATTATAAAAATTCCCGTCGGGTAAGATGAAAACTTTAAAGTACGAATTATTGAATTTCTTAGAGTTGATGGAGGAAAAAATTGCAGGAACTGTTAAGTCTCGACTAATGCGATTTTTACATGCCACTGTTGCCCAACAATAAATAACAATTAAAAATCCATAAACAAATGGATTACAGATGGCGTCACGTGACGGGAATGAGAAATTCCTGTTGCACCGACGATGGAAAGACTAGAGACGGAGTCACAGATCGATTTGAGGCTCAGAATCAATTCAACCTAAATTTTTCAGTTACCATTCGCAGAACTGTCGAAGCTTTCGTTCTGGTGTCCTTCCTTATCCACACGATAGCTCTCTGGATTAGTTCAGGAACCAGCAGGGTAAGTTTTTCTTGTTGAAGCCTTTGCATAATCCTCCGCGCTGACGAGTCCCAGCCAAACAAATAAAACGTGATTCTATTTATCATCATTCCTTAGAATTTCAAGTGAGTATAATCCAAACATTAATGGTATATGCAAAGATATTCATTAAATAAACAATTCAAACATTATGACTGAAATATTAAAGAGAACACGATAATTTGCGAGTGATTTTAAAGAATTCTAACCTCAACAGTTGTTTACATGGAGATCAAACGAGTACTCCAAATTCTCTTTGAGTTTTAAAAACTTCATTCTAATTTCCTCTTCATTCCTCCAACAGTCTTCAAATTTTTCCTCCAAAGCCATTGCATTTTCCTATAAATTAATCCTCAACAAGACTCCACAATTGAAACTGTCAAACGCCTGTTTTTACTCATCGATAATCATTTTCAAAACTACCAACTTGAATTGAAAATGTAAAAGGATTTTTTGGTGGTTGATTAAATTTTTTCCTGAAATGAATAATTTTCCAGATTAATTGATATTTGATGAATGGATTTAATTAATTCCTGAATTACGAGCATTAAAAAATGTATCGAGTTTATCTGATATGTTTTATATAAAAATATTACCTCTTCAGGAGACAGAGATTATCAACAATAATAAAAAATGGCAGCGACAATGCCCATCAACCCGAAACCCTTCCTCAATGGACTCACTGGGAAGCCAGTGATGGTGAAACTCAAATGGGGTCACGAATATAAAGGCTATCTGGTCTCTGTCGATGGCTATATGAACCTCCAGCTGGCCAACACCGAGGAACACGTCGATGGAGTATGCACAGGAAACCTCGGGGAGGTACTCATCAGGTGTAACAACGTTATGTACATCAGAGGAGTCGACGAGGAAGACGAAGAGGGCGAGATGAAGGATTAACTTATTCTTAACTGTATCGACAATTCATTTCTAATAAAATAATTCGTAAATCTATTATTCTCCTCTTGGTTACTCATCAGTAGTAAAACAATTTGTTAATCTGTTATTCTCATCTCCATAAATAATTTATCCCGAAATAAGACGTGAACCACTCGTTGTGGCTAATAAGACAGTTTCTGAAAGTTTTCGCGCAATACCTTTGAATCTAGAAGAGATAGAAAAATTTTTGTTAAAACCTTTTTGGCGGGTCTTTTTCCCCTCCGCAAATTTGGTACAGATCAAAATTTCGCTATCTCTCTTAGATTTGGGGATATTGTTCGAAAACCCGACGTTATCTGGTGGCCACTGAAATAATTTGTGATCATTATTCCGTGATTCAATGAAGTGATTGACTAGTTGGTCAAGGGGACGTCGGTGACGATGGGCTTCGGCCTTCCTCGAAATGTCACCTTCTTCGTGATGATGGCCTTGACGAGGTACTGCAGCTCCGATCCCTCCAGCTTATTCTGTTCCAATATCGCCATGGGTTTTGCCAGAGTTGTCTCCTTCCCATGCAGCACGTGCATTCCCAGGATCATTATGGGGGTTCCAGTCTCGTTATAATGAAGATCCCCCAGAAACTGGCCACTCTCTGGGTCCGAGGATGCTGCCTCCAGGTCCCCCTGCAGCTCGACAATCACATACTGCGTCCATTTGTCATTTATTCTGCAAACAATTCAGTCGTGACAATTACACTTATAATTACACTAATACGTACTTAAAAATAGACAAATTGTTGATCAATTCCCCCTAATAAATATAGAAAATGGAATTGTTTAAAACTTATCTGACATGATTGACAGCTTTACGTTAAATGATTATGGGAATTCATGGAATTCTTTACGATATTACATAATTTATTGATTGATAAGCCGAAGCTGTTCGTGATTGCAGTGAAATTTAATAATTTAATTGTTTTTCTGTAATTATCAGTGTCAGTCTAACCTGGTTATGGGAACAATCATCCTGTTTCCGGCGGGAAAATCTTCAGTGAGAACTCAAGTGTGAGACAGAGAAATTGAGACTCTCTTTGTCGTACAGTCTCATCAAGAATTTTCATCCAACGTTTATTCTTGGATATTTATCAACAAAATGTGAAAATTGTCTCAAGTCTTCACAATTCTGCAGAAGACTGACGCAAAATCTTTTTTATTTGAAGGCATCGCATTAAAAAATCATCATATCGAAGACTTTCCCCACGATTTTCAACTTATTTCGTATTGAAACGCCCCTTCGCAATAAATCATGCATTTTCTGAACTCGGATGCGAAATGCGAGTGAGAAAATTGTTTTAGTATTTTACTGACAGTTATTTGAATTTATTTAAAAAATTGTGTGCACTTGATCTTCGAATTTTCTCCAAAAGCAGAGGAACCGCTGAATCATGAGAATGATTTTGCTCTAGGAGATGACTATGCACATGATTTTGAAATAATTTCAATATTTTCTCCGGAATAAATCCAATAATTGTAAGTGCATTGCCCTCAGACCATTAAACATACGTCTCTGTTTCACGGAAATCAACAGTCATGAATAAATAATCCGCCACCAGGTGAATATTCGATTGGAAGAGATAAAAAATTCAGAAGACTCCCCTTTTCCAAACACTCAATATTAAATTATTAACGTAAAAATCGCAGGAACACGTGATGATTTCAGATGATAATTTATTCATGAGAGGATTGATTGCATTCGAGGGTTTAGCGTCAGTTTGTCGAGGGCTTTCTCATGAAGATCATCTCCGGGGGTTGAATTTCGTAGCTCCAGATCAGAATGCTACCCTACAGCATTGCTCTTCTCCGGGCCTGGGGTGTCTGGGTGCCCCAGGATTGGTGGCCAACCTGGAGGAAGAAATTATACCCCGCATACACTGTCTTCATAATCTGCTTCGTTTACGCGAATACTCTATCGCAGATAATCGATCTCTTCACGACTTACGAGAGTCTCAAAGGATTCATCAATAAATCGTTCATACTTCTGTCGACAATTGCCGGAGGAGTGAAGGGTACCCATTGCATTCTGCACAGACAGCAGTTCATCAATCTGGCCAAGACCCTGGACTCCTACCCATGTCGACCTGAAACCCCAGAAGAACAGATGATCCAAGACGAATTCAAGAAGAAGATCAAGTAAGAACAAATCAAATAAATGGAATGATCATTTACAAATAAATGATTATTTAAAGTAACAAATAAAGAAATATTTAAATATTATAGAAAAAGTCAATAGAATTCGATTTTTATCAATCATTTTTTTGGTTTCGATATTCTCTGCAAAATTTTCTCGTATCACATTTCCTGAAATGAAATTGAATTTTTGGTTAAATTTTCGGGATGAGCGGAGGAGAAAAATCGAATTTCATTAATTTTTTGTGTTAAAGTTTCTGATAAATATTTCCATAGAATCGATAAAAGATTCCTTTAAAAAAAATCCAGATGTAAGGAAAAATTAATGATTTCTGTAAAATTATAATGTACACCTAAAAATATTTTTAGGTGTACAGATTATTTTTAGTTTTTTATAGATTTTATTCGTTGAATGCATAATTTTTTATGATAATGATTCTAGGCCCACGATAATTAATATAATTATTATAATTCCTCTCGCAGATTCATGAATAGACGATACATTACGATGCACCTCTTCACGATAACGACCTTGACGATAGCTAGTGTTCTGAGGGACGTACCTAAGGGTGAGCTCTACTACAAGGCCTGGATACCCTTCAATTACACATCACCCTCGCGATTTTGGCCTGCGTACGTTCACCAAGTAATTGCGCACTACTTCGATCTCTGCATGCATGCAGGATATGACACCCTAGCACCAGGAATGATGATCCACGGATGCGCCCAATTCGCCATCCTAGGGCACCGGTTCCGGGCGATACCGGAACACATCAAAGGACGACTCCAACACTCCGACCATATCCAGTATAGAGAGCTCAAGGCCTTGGAGAAAAAAAAACTAACCGAATGCGTTCGACATCATCTTCAAATATTTGAGTTGTGTAAATTATTTTATCATACATTTTCCAAAAATTATCGCATGATTTTTTAGTTATGTGGGCATTTTTATTAATTTTATATAGAATTGTTTTATTTTTGAGATTACGATAAACGGCAATTATTCGTGAATTTAAATTATGTAATTGCATGAATTGTAATTATTATTATTATTGTAAATTCATCCGAATGCGTCTGACATCATCTTTAAATAATTGAGTTGTATAAATTATTTAATCGTTGATTTTCCAAAAATTATCGCATGATTTTTTATTTATGTGGGGATTTTTATTAATTTTATAAAGAATTGTTTTATTTTTCGAAATTATGATAAAAGGCAATTCTTAATGAAAGAGCATTTTCGCGATGGTTATGATAAAAACTGAATTAAAATAATGTAATTACATAAACTGTAATTATTGTTGTTATTATTATTATTATAAATTTATCCGAATATTATTATAGATTTAAAAAAATTACCGCAAGATTTCTAGTTGATTTGGGAATTTTAATTAATTTCATATAGAATTGTTTTGATTTTCGAGATCATGATATGCGGGAATTATTAGTGAAAGAGCAGTTCATAAATTTTTAAGATAAGATCTCAATTAAAATTATGTAATTGCATAAAATCGGTGGTTTATCGTTTTATTAGTTGATTTTCCCTGGATTATAAAATTATCATTTTTATTCGATTTCTCTGTGTAGATTCGCGAAGACGAATAATGGAATATTTAGTGGTATGATTTTCATGCAGTACACCGTGAGTTCATTGGTACTTTGCATGAGTACATTACGACTGTCGCAGATGAGAGCCTTCAGTCCAACTTTACTCTCCATTTTTTTGTACTTCTTGAGCATGATTGTCCAGATTTTCATGCCGTGCTTCTCCGGAAATCAAATTACCATTGCTGTAAGTAAAAAAGATGAGACGAAATTTTATCCGCATCGACAACGAAAAAATCTCATTAATTACAAGTCGAAAGAATAATTAATTTTTATGAAATATTGGTTGACTTACGAGCAGTATTCACTCTGTCCAGGGAATCCCCGGTTTATGTATCAATTGCGACAACTCTTCAGTTAAATCCCTCAATAATTATTATTAATTTTTAACAACATGAGAATTCTTCTAGAAGGGGAGGAATAAATTTGGAATAAACAAATAATCATTAGAATCTATAGAGGAATGAAAGGATTATTCTTATCATTATAATTGTCATGATTGAATTCAATTGGACGTGAATTGAACCTTTGACTCTTTTTAAAATCCTTTCAAAATTAATAAACGAATCGACTGCAATTTCTCATTAATTAAATCAATATTAAATTAATGACACGGCTTTGCAATTCAATTTCTAGAGCGAAAAACTCTGCGACGAGATTTACGGTATGGACTGGACAGTTCTCAGTACATCAACTAAAAGAAGTTTGACATTGATAATAACTAGGGCCCAAAAACCGTTGAGATTCACCAGTGGCTACATCCTCACTCTGTCCATCGAATCCTTCAACAGTGTGAGCATTACCCGTCATTTCAATAAATATTTGTTTATCGCAAATGATTGATATGAAAAAATCACCTGAATTTTTGGGTTTGCCTGATTGCAGACGGATTTTTCCCAAAATGTAAAGAGAATTTTAGAAAAAATATGAGTTTTTCAAAACTTCTGACATATCAGAGAACTCGGGTTCTCGGGTATTTCCCGAGAATAAACTTAAATAAACTTCACTCTTTCCCGATTTTTTATAGATTCCCTCAGAAAAAAATGGTTTATCGTTTTATTACTTGATTTTCCCTGGATTATAAAAGGGAAAAGCCATCAATTCTTTTGTCTGAGTACCTTTTCCTTATTTGAGTTTTACCCGAAATTCAGGTAGTGACCAGATGGGACCGGCAAAAAGACAAGAGTACCCCTCGAAGTAATTTTTACCGATAAGAGTCTTATCGGTAAAAATGGGCAACCTCAGGTAGGCTCGGAGCTGTAGCCATAAAATTATTAAGATTCCAATTATGAGAGACCTAACGTAATTACAAAGGTTGTCGTCTATTTGTGTGGTGGGGGTAACATTGGGAGATTGCGCATGCGCGTGATTGAAGTTCACGGGCAAAATGGTTTGAATTTTTATGAACGTGTTCGGACATTTTCTTTTCGATTAAAAAAATGGAATTAAAAGATGATGGTTTCGATTCAATGGAAAATATAGAAATGAAAAGTTGGAAAATGAATGTCAAGTTAGGACTATTAACAACATGGTAATATTTAATAATTGTTTTGCAAACAATATTTCCACTTCAAGAAATCTATGAAAGATATGAAATTTCTTTTTATAAAGATGATTAAAAACCACCAATAACCAATCAAAAGCATAACAACAAAAAAAAACAATAATTGAAAAAATATTTCCATTAGAGACATAGAAAATTTTTCTATTTCACTTTTCTCACCACCAAGTTTCTGCCAAATATCCCTATTAATCTTGCCTACGCGCAGGGCATCATGGGCCCGAAGGGGGGGTGCTGCCATAAACTTTATGGCTTGGGACGATTTTGCCTAATGGCGGTGGGGAGCTGGAGTAGCTCTGAGAGCGGAGGTTGCCCACCTCTGGATAAGACCATAATTGTCCATTCAGCTATTTCACCCTTATTTAAATTAAGAGAATGATTATTCACTATTTTACTATTGATCTATGATACCACGAAATAAAATTTTATTTCAGGTTGTGAAAACCTCGTACTCAGCATTCAACGTTCTCCACGGTTCCTCGGAATTCTGAAGTTTCTCCCATGAAGCCCCAGAAAATAGTAGACTCCAGTGTAAAAATTTCGAATTGTAACATATAGTTGTCAAGAAATAATATAATAATAGTACATTCATCCATCCATTTTTCAATGGGAATACAAATATTGAGAGTGAAACCAAGAGGAAAAGCAGGAGAAACGGTTTTACACAAATTTTTAGAAAAGAATTTAGTCAAGAGGAGAGAGTAAGGTACACTGAGAAAAAATTCTACCACAAATTAGTGTGCTATTCACCAACCCATGGGACCAAACCGTGGTCAACAAAAAATTCGAATGACCCACCCGAAAAATTCAGATGTGGCACCCTAATTTTTGAAGAACTTACGCTACTTTTCCGTGAGACTCCCTTAAAAATTGGGGCGCCACATCCGAATTTTTTGTTGACCACGGTTTGGTCCCAAGGGTTGGTGAATAGCACACTAATTTTTGAATGGACTCAGACGAAATAATGATGTATTTTTCTCTCCGTGTACAAGTGAAAAAAAGTGGTGACTGCGGGTGTCAAGTTATCCTGACACTGTCCAGAAGTCTTCTTTGTCACAGGTTCGTAAATAATTTTATGATACTCTTGAAAGAATAAGGGACCTTTCTTCTCTCAGCACCACGAATTGGTTGAGAAAACGTTCGTGGTATTTGCGGGTTTATGGATTTATTGTGGGCCCTCGAGGGTGACCCTTGAAAATTAAGACCTATCCCTCAGAAATCACCATTTGCTACACTTTCCTGGGACACGGGGCAAAGGTTTAGCTCCAATAGAATTTCAGGAAGCTGGCAACGCTGTTCCTGGACACCAGATCTTGGTGGCAATAGTAAACCGTTGAGATAAAGGAAACAGTCGCTCTTAACCCGTCGAGAGGACAACTTTAGAATTGTTTGTTTATTAGTTAATCCAATTATAACGAGACATAATAAATGTCTGGTTTCATATTGAGGTGAATGTTCATTAAATTTGTTTAAATATTTGTTTGCGAAGCCTTGGATTTGGTTTCATCAACAATCATCCTCGGACTTCAGGCACCGGCAGTTCAGGCCCATAAACAAATTAGTAACAAATTGATAAAGTGAGTTTTTAAAATTATGTTAAACATCAATTAATCGCAAGCCTATTGATCTTAGCGGAAAATGCTGTGGGGTTTTTTTGGGGGAATTTTCTTGGGTTTTAAAAAGGTTCTTTTAAAAATTTTGTTTTCTTTCTTTGGTTTCGGGGTTTTTTCGGGCAAATTTGTCTATTAGCTATAAATCGAGTTATCACTTCACCACTTCACTGTTAAAATTGATTAATTAGGCTTAATCTATTAATTAATCTATTAATTCTGTTTATAAAATAACGTGTTATCGACATACCCATTGAGTACTTCCCTCCGGTCCCAAACGAAAAGACTTTCCCGCCTAAAGTCGGTCACCAAAAAACCGTCAATACACTTTCCCAGAGTAAATCATTCCGAGATCAAAGTGGATTCGACAAAAACAATAATCATTAGTAATTATTCACTATTCATTGTTCTCCACAACAATGGAATCGGCACAAGTTGTAACTCAAGCGTCGAACTCAAAGAGATTCAATTGTCAAATTCACGAAGTATTAACTCTGGTAATCTACAGTGTAGATTCTACACTCTCATAATACTCCCATAGAATTTTCATAAAAAATATATACATAAACAATGCGTCGAGAGGTTGATTGAAGAATAAGACAAGACTCGAAATGAAAACAAAAGAGAGAGAAAATCCCGGGTTTTCATGAATGCGACGCGATTGTGCAGTTACTTGCGACCGGCGCCGATCTTCAGAGCTTTGTTCGACTCCTAGTCTTCAGATTACTCATTACCGAGTTGATTCATTCCGAGATATCGCGTCTCACGTTCCCGCGAGATTTTCCAAAGGAATTGCTCTCACAGACGTGATCATTCTCGAATCTCTGTAACCCGTTGTAAAAATTCTAGGAATCATTCTTTGAAGCACCGGCCGGCGTAACATGTACTGATTATCAAAGTGACACGGTTTTTGGAACACAATGAACGCCAGTAACTCAAGCTCCTTGGGATTCAATGGGAACGATTCTGGGATTTGTGGTGAGTTGGTTTTTCTTTCAATATAATTTTGTTTTTGAGAATAGTCTTGTTTTATCTGATTTATTTAGAGTAACGACAATTCATTCGTTTGGGTTCTGGATTGATGGTCAAGTCGAGGATGTCCGGGTTCTGAGGACCAGATCTTTTAATGTTGAATAAATTCTGGGGTTTTTGGGTGAAGGAATTTAGTTTACTTTCTTATTGTCGACAATTCGTTGTTAGTAATGAGGAACGTGCATTTCTTCCGACCACAATTGAGGATTCGTTTCGGTTTCCAATTGTTCGGAGGAGTCGGGTCATGTGAGGTGTTCTGTTTTTGAGACAGTTCAGACCCTTTTTGTCTTGAGTAAAAGCGACTAATGAGAGAAAGTTTCGCCTCGTTTCTATTCTACATTTTGACCGTTTGTTTGAGTTGGATATGTAGATTTTAAAATTGAGTGAAGTGTCATTATCTTTCTTATTTTCTGATCTTCGAAAAGACCAGGACGGACCCTCCGGCAGCTCAAGGCACTCACTCAACTCCTCGGATTCCAGTGAGAGTCGCAGACGTATATCAATTTCAGAGTACAAACAGCGAAAAAAACCAGCCGAAGCAGCTCTGGATCCTTCGTAAGTAAATCCTCACTTGAGATTATTCTGCACTGAATTAATATTTCATTACACGAGAATCTTCCAATTCTTAAAAATATAAAAAAATATTGATTCATTATTATTCTGTACACCGTATGGGCTGCCATATCTTCCTGTAGATCATCTTTCTCTGCTATCCGTCTTAAGATTTCCTAAAATTCCAGAATTCCGACAAACAACAATCACATCACCCTGAAATCTGAGACAGGAATTAGTCCACCATCTTCAAGGGTTGCAGTTTCTCACCAGAATGGTCCAATGGTTTTCAACAACGTGGAAGAGTACTACGCCCATATTTACTGCTTGACATCGCAGGGTCAGCTACCATCTGTTCCCGAGGTGGCATCTCAGGGTGTGCCCCAGGCACCTCCCTCAGCGCCAGCCCCCTCGTACCCTTACTGGGGTCAATCATCACAGCCCCCTGCCACCACCACAGAGTCCCGATTACCCAAGATGGAAGAATGGCTCCCCACTCCGACATTCTCCCAGACCTTCGCTCAGACATCTTCCGAGCCCATCCACAACGGTGAATCCCCCACTCCTCATTTCTACCCACCCCTTCCGCCCCAAGAGAAGACCCCAAAGATGACACCAGCATCAGAGCTAACTGGCTCCAACGAGGCGACGTCCTACAGGGAATGGAGAAAGCGAAAGTACGGGACAGAGGACTCCTTTGCCTCGACGAGTAGCAACAATTCGAAATTCAGGAAGACTGACTCCTGGAAGGACAAGGGAGGCCCTCGAAACGGTCGTCGTCCACGTCAAAATCAGAATTCCCAGGATAATTGGAATACAGGGGCTGGATCGTCGGGAATGGACTCGTGGGATGACGATTCAGCACCGAAGGCAGCCTCTGGTGGTTTGGATTCCTGGGATGATGGCTCAAGTGCTCCCCAGGCTAACAGTCATGTTCTAGACTCCTGGGATAATGAGCCGGCCCCTCAGGCAAATAAGAGCGCTCTGGATAATCTGGAGAGCTGGGACGACGGTGGAGCTCCACAGGCTAGCCAGAGTATCCAGGAAGACTCATGGAATGGTGGAGGAGCCTCTCGACACAAAGTAACTGCCCAGAATGGTCTGGACTCCTGGGATGACGCAGGGGCACCTCCTGCAGCGAGTAATTACGATCCGTGGGGATCAAGCTCAGGTCCACAAGCTGGTCCTTCAACAGCTACTCAAAATGGTCTGGAGTCCTGGGACGACGCAGGCGCGCCACCTGCAAAGAGTAATTATGGATCTTGGGAGGCCACGTCAGCACCTGCTCCGTCGAAGTCTCTCGGGGGTGGTTTGGAATCCTGGGATGACATATCAAGTGCACCTCAAGCCTCTCAAGCAGCTCTCGATTCCTGGGACAACGCATCAACTGCTCCTCCAGCAGCTGCCGACTCCTGGAATAATCCAGCACCAGCATCCAATTACGATAATTCAACTGCACAGTCCTGGGATACTGGGAATTCCTCGAGAGGTGGTTCCTGGGGGATGAAGGGCTCCCAGAGGGGCTTTCGAGAGAATAAAGGAGGATATCGAGGGAACAAATCGCGGAATGACTCGAACAATCGCTCGAGGAGTGGTTCAAGGGACTACAGAGGGGGCAGCAGATCCAGTGATAACTCAGACTCTGGGTACTCGAATCGTGGCAACAGAGGAAGCAGGGGGAGGCGATCTGGTTCTCGAGACTCTGGGAGTTGGAACAGGAATGACAGGGACAAACGCTCCTGGAACAGTGGAAAGAACTTTGGGGACAGGGGCAACGATAGGAATGATTCCAGATCCTCCTGGGATCAGGCCGAAGCTTCAACTGCGGGAGGAACCACTGGCGAGTCCTGGGACGACGACGTGGCCGCTCCTCAGTCTAGTAAGGAGTTCGCTGGCTCCTGGGGAAACCAGGGGAGTCAGGACGTCTGGGGAAATTCGTCGGCGAATAATTATGACAGGGGGGTGGCGAATTATCCTAGTACTTCGAGTGCTTTAGCAGTTTCTGCTCTCGATGCTCTCGAGTCCTGGGATGACGAAGTGCCTCGACCACAAGCAGCTCAAGAGCCTCTGGTAGCTCAGGCTTCTGGGGGGAATTCGGGAGTTGCCAAGAGTAATATGGTCAAGGCGTTGTGCACCACGTGCTCTTTTGAGATTGTTCATCGTTGCAAATTTGAACAGGACTGTGAGATCAGACAGAATCTCAAACCTGGGGAGCTCTTCACCTGCCCCTGTGGCATGGCTTTCCTCCATGAACGTGACTGTATACAGAAGGTCGGGGAGAACTTTGCACCCATCAACATGGAGACAGCTCTCATTAAACAGGTGGGGAGGTCTCATGTTTATGTTTGCAAAGAGTGCAATTTCAAGTTTATACTTGAGAATCTCAAGGATAGCAGTCACTTCTTCAAGCAGATGACTAATAAAAAGGGGGACAAGATCAGGCAGACAGCCGCCATCAATGATCCTGAGGGAATTGGGGCTTTTACCACTCATATCGAAAGGATTAATAATATCGCCTGTCTTGGGATGGATTCTGGTGCTACGGAGAAGGCTTTGAAGGATAAAATGTCCAGCATTGGACAGTGCAGTCAGGGCTGCTGCACTATTTATCATGACTGCAAGACGTATGAGCAGAGGGAGGAGGGGGAGACTGTGTAGTTTTGCTGAGGATTACTTTTTTTATGGAATTGAATATTCTTTCTGTGAAATGGAATATTCCTGATGGAGAAAAATTCGGGGATCAATGATGTTGATGGAGTTTAAAAGGGAGATGAGTCGAATTTTGCACTTGCACTTGATATCGATTGATCCAAGGCTTGTGCTCTCGGGGGAAAACGTGAGATGATTCTTTGTAGAAGATTTAATCAGCTGCAAAAAATTCAGTTCATGTTTTCACCCAGCACACAGAGTTGTTTAGATAAATCGATAATTAAGAAAAATTTGAAATTCAAGTCGTCTCGTTTTACCGCTTCCTTACTGAAATGTTCTTCACTCAAAAATGAATAATCTAGATTGTGAAGTAGGAATTTTAATGGACTATTCTTTAACGAAGAATATGAGAGAGATACTCTCGAGCTTTCGATTATTCATTGTTGAATCAAGAATATTGATCGTCAAACGCAGAATTTCTATATTCTCTATGAAATTATTAATTCGCAGAGACTTCACTGTGCGTGATGTGACGTTTATAAATTTATATTTAGTTTAACTGTTTTTCTGATGATTTGAAATATCTTTGTTTAATTAGACTACGTGATGATCAGTGCCTTTGGCCTTCTACTGCAGACGAGTACTCGGAATTTGCGTTATTTTCATTAACTGACGAATCTCTAAACAAAATTCATTCGGTTATTTCCTCGTACGTTCGAGTGGAGGTCAGTATTCCAGGAATATTATTTTACAGATGGGAGAAGCATTTGATGAAGTCATCAGTTTATCTACTTTTTTTATTCATTTTTTAATCTAATTTTGCGTAAGTCTAGGATGTACGATACTGGAATGAACTGAGATAACATTCCTATAGATATTTAGTTTGATAATTTTGCATAGTCTATTTTGTTAAAATTTATACCGAGAAAGAAATATTTCCGCCAAATATTCAATTCCTTGAGGGAAGTATTCAGTTTAATAACTCGTTATGTATAAATAAATATTTGACAATAAGTTTTTGGTAATCCAAAACGTGCCTTCGAGCATTTCGAGACGAGAACAAGATGTTTGCCACTGATTTATCATTCATTTTTCTCGTGCGTTAAATCATCAGTGAAGGTTTAATAGAATTTAATCAGAGTTTTGCATGATGATTTTGTTTTGGAAGTCGAATGAGAAATATCAGATCTCCATTCCTCCAAATTAAATGAATATGAACTTAAATGTGAATATTCATTTGTAATATTCATGGAGAATTCGTAATCTAATATTTCCCTTGATTTTATTATTCAAAATACTTCATGCAATAATTCACAGTCAATTTTCTGTCGTTTTCACCCAGAAGTTGTATTTTGTACTGCCAGTACAGCAAACTGTCTCGAGAATATATTACAAATAAAACCATCAAGTGTCAACAAGTTTGACAGTTTATTATATTTTTATTCATGCTTTAACAATATATCCAGAACTTTTTTATAGAATTTGTAACTGCATATGCCTCTGTAGCCCTCGTTGAGCTGTTCATTGCGAGAAAATATTGCAACAAAAATTCATTAACTAAAAAAAAAATTTCAAAAGTCTCCGAAAAAGTCGAATGAACATTTCAGCAATAAAGACGAGATATTTTTTAAAGTTCAGAATTGTTTCTTGAAACGTACTGTGAACTGTTTCCATTAGAGGATAAATTAATTGAAGTTACATTCCCATAAGGAACTGCATCAAACGCTTTTGCCATAGTCCTGGTGTTATCAGAGATCCTGGCGGCCTCGTAAATTCTCACCCTAGCACAGCCAGGTGCTTCCTCACCCCAGGAATCTGATTCGCTTTCTTTGACAGAATTTCCCAGACTCTCCTCGTGAGAATTCGAAGAGAAATTCTGAGAGAGTCTATCCCCAGGAATTCCTCCAGTTCTCGGACCTTCTGCACTCGTTTTCATGTATTTTTTTGGAACCTCGAGGTGATTGTCCTCTTTAGATAAGGAAGAACAGAGGACGTAGCAGTTAGAGCCTCTCATTTCCATGTGTCTCTTTCTTGTTTCAGAATTCATGCAGTGGTATAAATTGGGGATCTCTTTCTTCGAATCTATTTCTAATTTTATGTTGACCTGAGGATCTAGTTGGGGGACGATACTGGGGATCTGTTGATCTGTCCGATTAGTCGTTCCCCGAATTTCGTTTGCACAATTTTTGTTGTGGTTCTCACAACAATGACTGACGTTCCTTTCTACGATTGATCCTTTCTCATGGATAAACGATATTTTGGCATTCGGCGACAACCTGGATATCAATTATTCAATTATAAGACTGATTGCACTATCTAGAATTTCTAAAAATTTGAATAATTATCTTGGAGTGGAATTCCCGAAGGAATTAAATTACTCACGTGTATTTCATCGGGTCTTGAGTGTTATTCGAAGCGATAGAGTCAGAAAGAAAGTTGACGTGAAAAAGATTGTCATATTTTTTAGAGGAACCATGAGATCTGGAGAAAACCACAACATCTTCTCCTGGTTCTGAGAATTTCCCCCCATACGCCTGAAAAATCGTAAATCACATCTCAATCTAGATAAATCATGAGTGGATAACCTGTGATTACAGAACGATTAGAATAAATAACAATTGTGACAATTACCTCCACGATTTTGATAATCCTGTAAAATTCGACTAGATCAAAACCGTCCAAATAAAATTTCATGGGTTTGCCATTTATCGAAAATATATGAGCGTTAAACCACTGGATTCCTTGGCGTGCCATTTTGAGATTATTCCAGAGTAAATACGCTCTTGCCGGCTCTTAGGATAATGTTTGGGTATGTAACAGTCCAAACTGAAGAGAAAATTTTCTGCCAATCAGAATTTTACTTGAAAGGAGTACCTGAAAGTCCTTCTTACGATTGGTAAATCATCAATTGAAGAAATTTGAATAAATATTTCGCGGCTTTTGCCTGTCTTTCCGTAAAATATTTCATTTTACGTTCGAAAAAATTCGAAATTGGTAAATTTTAAGAAAAAAAAGTAGATGTTCTTTTCAGATTTATCCGTACAGTTCAAATTTCTCGGTTTTTCTTTGCAATTGTAAAAACTTCGGTAATTTTCCACTTGTTATTTGAATTATTTGAAAATTTACTAGATCAATGGAGATGGTTATGGAAAGAATTTTAGATCGCTCCCAATTTTTTAATTAGTTTTAATATTATTAATAACAATGGAAGTAATGGAAAAAGGTATATTCAACTGAATAAGATCAAAAAATTCCATCACTCATGCTCCCATATCTTAATATCTTCTTGTACCCCCGGCTAATTCAAATCCATTGAATTCTGGGTTCCTGGTTTGAAGGCCCTGAATTGCTTCAGGGCTGTTGGGTCGTCGGTGTACTGATCAATGTGGGCTAGCAATTTTTCTTCGAAACGGAATCTCAGAGTGGAGGCGTCGCGATTTGGCAGAATCTGCAACACATGAAAATCTAAAATCATCAACTTCTGAGGCTTGAGGCTTGAGATCAAGCATTCATTTTACATCAAATTAATTCAGTAGGAGAGGTGAAAACTAAGAATTCTACGCATTCAGATTTTCAAGGACACATTTTCAATTGTCCTTGAATTTAATTGAAACAATTAGTATTCGTACTTTATCGTACGCCATTTCAAACCAAATGCTGGGCCCTTGGATCCTCAGGATTGCCTTCTTGTCGATGAGGTATTTCACGATTTTCTGATCGTCTTCGAATGTGAATCTCACTATTCTGGAACAGATACCATCGAAATAAAAAAAAATATTCAACAATTATAGGTAAATCACTTTGGCGAAATTGTATTGTACTCCAACGTGAAGACAAAATCGATGAATCGTTCAATTCTATAACTCATTATTTGGCAATTATTTTTCCATCGAATTGATGAATTCTCTCACCGTAAAGACTCGTTGTCCTTCGCATTTCCCATCGATTTTTTCTCCAGCAGAGCTGACCCTGAGGATTCCCCTTCCTGCATGATCTGCAGGTCCTTCTGACCCTCGACTTCAGACCTCTGGTGAATCCAGGATTTCAAGAAGTCTTTGGTCCCGACGTAATTATTATCGAGGCCAGCAACAGGTATCTTCTCTACATCAGCCAGATGTCCAGGGAATCTCCA